CTTCGAATCGCAAAAACCTAGTGGAACTTGATTCTTCATATTCACTCTTAGATTTCTACGTGTTTAAATTCTAAATGTTGCCCGCATTTACTTCCTAGCAAACAGGGATCGGCACTTATAAGGGCAAATAGCACCATACATGACTCAAGAAGCACACATATTAGCTGCAATAAAGCTTTTTGAGGGAATAACTGACCATGAGTGCTGCTTGATAAGGCTACAATGAAAGGTTTGATATATGGTTTTGCCACCTGAAGTTTCGCTAAACTCGCTTTTTTAGAGAGTAGAAAAAACTTCATGATGAAGTTCAATGTATTTCTAAAACACCACACCCATCAAAAATGAATGTATTCTGAACGATGTGAACATAAAATTAATATGAAATGATTCGCTATGTTGAAAGTCGATGTTTCTTTATAAAATACCAAAAGAAGTCATTCGAAACTATTTTACTCTAGTAGTTCACCAGTCTGAGCGACGGGATCTCTGACTCAATAAGGCTCACTTTAAAAAATCGAAATAAAACGCGATTCGAACAGAACAGCGCGAATTTCATGATTGAGGGAAAGGAATATCTACACCTATGGTAAGAACAGCATTCCGTAAAACTGGACTCAAGCTCGAAGCTCAAAAAAGTGACGAAGAAGGCGGGAGAGGGATAGGTATTGTTAACCATAGGGAAGTAGACTTTGTAACAAATTAAAGAAAATCGATCGATGATGAAACTCAAGCAAGCACAAAAAAGAAAACAATGGGAATTCGACGTATTCCCTTGCTAAAACATAACATGATGAGGAGAGAACAAACCAAACCAAATGTTCATGTTGGAAATTTTCATGGCTGTGAAAAACGTTTTTCGAAAGCGACCCTATGAAGAGAGTAGTGAGCTCAGCATCGCATTGCACTCATAAGCTCACTGCGCGAGTCAAAGTTATATTTCCTTTTTCTACGATTCTAAATAGAAGCCGAAAGCAAGGCGAATCGGAAAATAGTGAATGAGCGGATCAATCCATCATACATCTTCGCAGTAGCAGAAGAAGTTCTCAATAAACATACTAAAAAACATTTTTGGGATTAGCAATCACTGCAAGTTGTCTAAAGATCGCCATAAAAACATATAAAGCGCTTCAACAATGGTAATAGTTGCCTTTCTATGAAGGACATTTTAAGAGATATCTTTCTGAAATGGTCATTTGCTTGGATTCATTCTCAAAAAGAGATCTTCATGGCTTCTTCTCAACTTATTTGTGAAACGCTTACTATTCAGTTGAAAAACGATTCAGCTACAAAAGAAGAAAAAAATAACACAGGAAAAAGCTCCCCACCAGATGCATACTATTCCCATCGAGGGAATCAAAATGGAAATTTCAAGTCTGAAACCCACCAACGGATATAAGGACAGGACTATCGTCGGGATAACTGCTGCACGATGCCATTTCAAGATCGTCGTCACTTTGAACGTCCCGAATTCCTTCATCTTCGGAACAGTTGTTCGAGTTTGGAGGGACATGACCAATGTCATAGAAGCACTCTCCTTAAAAAAAGACGAAGATCGCGTAGTAAAAGCAGCATTGATAATACTAGTTTACTGAAAATAGAATATTTCCTTGGAAGCCTTTCATCGACTTGTCGACGTGGAGCGTATGCAGCACTCCCTCAAACCAGAGGATGAGAAAGAAATCTTCTAAAGTTGAATAGGATTATTTCTTTATTCATCAAAATGCCTTGATCTAATATCAGCAACACCTTAAAAAATCTACTCTTTCGAATGTCCAGTTTTAAATGGGTAAATACAAAAACACATTCGAAGGAATTTCGTCCTATCCGCAGCACATCAACTCACGTCTTGTATCACATCGAAAAAAAGCAATTTATCAACCATTGTTGGGGCTCATCACCAAAAAATTGACAACAAGAATGTCAAGGCTTTGTTAGAATTCATTTGATTTTTTCTTTCAATTTTCGAGAACTTGGCCCTCAATCCCTCCGGGTGTGGTTCACTTAGACGGAAAACAAATTTTAGTGTTTCGCAGCGCAAAACATTTTCCACAGCAAGAACCTCAGCTCCACCGCTGATCATGAGTGCACCTGAGTTTCTACAGCGAAACTGTATCGCGTAAGACGCGAATAAGTCGTTTTCTGTCCTAGCAAACACTACAGCGGAGGAGAAGCGAGCTTAAGGTTGTTGTTGCGACATACTTCCGTTCTAAACACTGGGAAAAGTATGTTTATTTCCCTACAATGGGTATCAAACTGATGAGATAGGAAAGCTTCTCAATAAAGCTACCATATAGTCAATCAATGTCGACTGACGAACGATTAATGACAGTACCTTCTCGGAATATTTTACGGATTTTGAAAGTACCTCTGTTCAAAAAGAACACTTTCTCAAAGACAATACGAGTCTAGATCAATACGTAAAGTGAATGTTTATCAAGATGAAGATGATTCTTACACAATTCCACGTGACAAACGCAACCAACGCAGTGAGTTGTTCTTTGCAAACACGTGCAAAAAGGACTACCCAGAAGAAATTTATGATGATTTCACCATTTCGGATGAGAATTTATCTGTGACGAAAATAGAAGAAAGTATGGCATGTATTGCCGTTTTTCTTTCATTTCTGTTTCTGGAAAAGAAGGTATATCATCAAGGAAAGACTGACATTTCGAAATTCTAAGTACTATGTACTTGCGCTTACAGTGGTCAACCGAAGTTTCGAATAAACCATACTACAGGGGCTGTTTGATTACTCGAGGCGTTTTGGTGGGAAAAAAAGATTAGTGGCTCGACAACTGATGGACGTTCGCTGCAATAATTTTCCGAACTATTTAAGTTGACACAGAAAAGAAACACGAAAAAAGAAGAAGGGGGAAAAGAAAAAATCAAAATGGAACACACCACGTGGTAAAAAAAAAGCTTAGAAATGAAAATGTTGGTGGGAGTAAAAATATGTAATATTACCTATTCTGACAGCATCGTCGAGTTCGTAATCGGAATCGGAGTCGGAAAATGACATCTTGAGTACTATTCCAAGCGGTTTCGGTTGCATACAATTAGAATCGGGCAGTCACTTTTTTTTTGGATGCATATGTAGGGCAGGGCATATGTCGCTCGGACGACACAACGATCGACTTTGAACTTGGTCTAATTGCGATCAATCGTGAATACTTAGGCAAGTCCGACGATGCGATAGTATAGCTAATGATGTGCGACAGTTGCCGTATCGTTGTGTCGTGCGGTACCGACTGATGCGCGTGCGCCCATAGACGCGAAATGTGTGGCAAGTGGAGACTGGCTGCCGCTACCATAGGTGTCATAAGAAGTTGAATGTGCCGATGGAAGTAGTCGCAATTCGTTTAGGGAATCTAGGGGGGGGTGGATGGCAAGTGAGGGCTGTCACTTGACATGGCAGTGAAGGTGGAATGTGTATGTTTGCACTTTTATCTTCTTCTTCTTCTTATTCTTTAGCGTCTGTCCCGCTTGTAAGCGGGGTCCGCTTTTCTTATGTGTTGACGCCACTTTTCCCGATTAAATGCTTGATCGGGGTGGATATTAACTGACTTCAAGTCTACGTGCAATGTATCGAGCCATCGCTGCTTCGGGCGCCCCCTAGGCCGCTTTCGGGATGTTTATAGTGTTTACGACCAGTATATTAGCGAGCAGCAATCTATACCTACATACATTTTGCGCCTACCGTATTCGAAAAAACTCGGCGTGCCCATCCCACGTGTATTGCACCGCCGTTTCTTCAGTTATCGATATTTTGTGCGGATTTGCAGCTGGATGGTGTGAAGAAATAATTGCGAGTAAGTGACTCAATAGACTCAAAGGGTTTCGAGTACAGAATAGAACAAACAACCGGCGACATTCCAGCTACTACGAGCCAATTGGGAACGTCTACGAAAGCGAAGAAGGCGTGACCGGGTTCAGACGACACGCTCGTATCGGATCGATATTCGGAGGGGGGGGACTCATACTTAAGTGATACGCATACCTTGCGATGCGTTACCTGAATAATTTTTACAAAACCCGTCTGCGAAACAACGTCAATTTTGGTATCAGCGGCTGAGTATACTTGAACCATATACAATTTTAAAATCGGAGACCTTAAAACTAACTTTCTCTTGATCTTCACTACCCACTCATTTGCGCTACGGTAATCGCCTTGATCTACCGTCGAAGCACGCCATCGACCATCAGAAAAAAAAACGCGGCTCGCCGAAATCGAGGGACCGGCAAAAAGCGAGAGACTGTGGACATTGTGGAGACGGAGGAGGCAAACGACGTGGGGTGCGGCCGACACGATGGTAGATACGAATGAACCACTATGATCACATCTGATCATCAAAAGCCAAGATCAAAGGAAAATTCAGATTAAAGTTTACCATACAAAATGTACATCATCGTATAGAGTTTTCGACGCTGATTTCGTTTATGAGGAGCATTTCGAATCTGTGAACTTGCGTGATGGAAAGGGGAAAAATGCGGACTTTGGACGATCGATACGTATTGGGATCGTTACGATCGGACCACTAAGTATGGAAACGTCCATTTGGAGCCAAGCCAATAAAGAACGGCCAACAGTAGTCTGTCGTCCGTTCGTAACGATCGCAGGCGTCCCCCAGCCTATGGAGATACGCTATCGTCGGCAATGCGCGGACACGTTTGACGATCGATACGCATCCAAGTGCTGATAGGGTGTGGGTACTTAGGACAGAACGCGACTTTTTCGCTCTTCGCAACGCGACATCGCGCGGCAGGCTGGCGCACCCGCAGCGAAAACAACTACGGTGGAAGAACGCGCGATTGGAGCACGATATTTGTGTCGGCTTTGATTGCGACAAGGAGTTTGAAGCTTAATAGCCATGGATTTGATAATGAACGAGGAAATGGTAACCAGAAGTGGACCGCTAACTAGCAGTGAAGAGGGAGGTAGGTTATTTTTGCAGAGATGGATGGTAGAGCTTCTGGAGAACCTGGAAGAGAAATGGTTGATGGACGTTTGATGAGAGTTAAGATGTTATACCCTTATGCAGAAGTCTATACAACAATATGAACCCACAAAATGCAAGCACAAGCGACACTATTAAACCTCGTTCACCGATAATTCGTAAAACACCATTTTAGTGGCATCGCCCGGAATCGTGTAAGTCACAAAACGTTTTCAATAATGAGACAGAATTAGTGATTCACCGCATTTATCAATACAATGGGTGTGAGCGCGGGCAAGTAAGGAATCAGAAACTTACAAATTCACGCATGCAAAAAAGCTGCTCCAATCGCGCGTTCTTCCATACCGTAGTTGTTTTCGCTGCGGGAGCGCTAGCCTGCCGCGCGATGTCGCGTTGCGATGAGCGAAAAAGTCGGCGTTCTGTACGACGAAAAAATCACTGAGGTGTGAAGTGGGCACAATTTCTCTTGTCTTGCACCCCCCCCCCCCTGCATGCTAAAAAAATGACTCTCTTAACGCGACAATATCTAGGATCACTCCTTCCTTTTCAGCGACGTTCCTGCATAGTTTCGACGGGGGTGGGCCCGGTAGGAATTTGGATGCCAATACCCTTCCTCCTCTCCCTCAACTGGTATGAGGTCCCACGGTTTATAGGAAAATCACTGCCAATTTTGCGATACTCCGCAAATTTACTTCGACTCTTGAATCGTTCTAAATGGTTCCCAGAACCCAAACCAAATTCCACCACCATATATGATCACCTTTACCCAAAGTACTGAAATATTCCAATCCCCTCTCCCACGGGAAGAATTTTTCGACAATGGCTCCACAGGTTCTGAATCCGCATTCCGAAGAAGGTGCATTGCCATCATTGAATTATTTGAGCTTCCAACAAATAAACAATTTTCCTTCCATGATTTCAGAGTTATTCCTTCAACACCGCGGAAACTGCTTGCTTCGCCATTTTCGCAAAGAAATTGCATGTTTCTCCCTAATTTTTGACTGCCAAAAAATGTGAAAAGATGTAAATTTAAGACAATTCTTCACTTCCATCCCTGTTTTCAAGTTTTTAGTCATATACGGGGGGGGGGCAAAAAAAGACATTTTGCCCAGGTCGCACTTCGGCTTTTTTCTTCGCAGAGATTGCCGTCGTTGACGGAAGTTCCTCAGCAAAATATTCCTAAATGCCCCTCTATAAGTACACGCAGGCCCTCCTTCACTGCCCTCACCGTCTTCAGAATATGACGTCATCTGTCACCGTCGTCGAGCTCAGGAGGCCTACAGTAACTGCTTCAGCCTGAAGCTACTTAATTTCTTCAATCGATTCAATCGTTGGATAGTTTCCTAGAGACATTAGCTCTGACTATGCAAACCCCCTCGGAACCCGCTTTTCAGAAAACGTCGTAATGGTATGGGGTCCGTCCACGACCCCATTGAGCACGACCAGTACACCATGTTTTCAGTGCTAATTTTTCCGATTTCGTCCACCTTGAAGGGCAATATGAAGTTTATTTTATAAAATGGAATGTGCTCTTTCATTTTAACTTGAGACCATTCGTTTCAGAATTTAGCAGAGTGTGATTTAATCGGTTTGAATGTGGAGACAGAATGTCTTTTTTTATTGCCCTTCCCCCTCCCCTGTACATAGTGTCGCACTGTCTATGTCTGGTGTCGTCCGATTAGGCACTTAAGTGTTAACGATAATTCATATGAGGACAATAAGGAAAGTTGCACAGTCGATTGGGCAGATTTAGGTGGGTTCCTAAGAAGCTGACAGTTAAAACTTCAGAAGCAGGGGCGCCTCATTAT